GTTTCCATTTTCTTTCAATTCAAGGCACTTTCAAATTTCACTTTTTAAAAAATGGCTTTATTGAGATATTATGCACATACCACACCATCCACCCATTTAAAGTATACAATTCAATGGTATATTCAGAGTTTAGTATATTTAGTATATTCACAGTTATCTGCAGTTATCACCAGTCATCTAGTTTTACTTTTGATTTCTTCTTGGACCTGTGATTATTGAGAAGTGTTTTACTGAGTTTTTAAATATTTGGAGACTATCCAGATACCTTTATGTTACCTGATTTCTACTCTAATCCCATTGTAGCAAAATGCATACTTTCTATGGTTTGAATACTTTTAATTTCATTGAAACTTGTTTTATGGCCTAGAAATTGGTCTGTATTGGTACATGTTCCATTTGCATTTAAACAGAATGTATATTTTGTTACTGTTGAGTAGAGTGTTCTGTAAATGTCAATTAGGTCAAGTTGGTTGATAGTGTTGTTCAAGTCTTTTATGTCCTTATTGATTTTCCTTCTATTTTGATCAGTTATTGAGTGAAGGATGTTGAAATTACCTACAACATTGTGAATTTGTTTACTTCTTTCATTTCTATCAGTTTTTGCTTCAGGTATTTTGAAATTTTGTTATTAGGTATGTAATGTTTATCATTGTTATAGTCTCTTGACATATTGACCTCATTAATATAAAGTGACCCTTTTTATACCTGCTCTAAAAGCTACTGTCTGATTTAATATAGTTGTTCTCCCTTAAACTTTGTTGAGTTACTTTACACACTGTAAAATTTACCCATGTTAAGTGTACAGTTAGGTGGGAGCTATGCCTCCTATATATAGGCCGATGATTTCCAAATCTGTGTTTTCAGGCTTTGACATCTGAACCTATGAGCTTTGTTGACTTTTTAAACTTAACAGGTCTAAAATCATACAAATTCATCTCTTTCTCACTCCTTCCGTTTATTCCAAATCACCCTTTCTTTTCTTTATTTTTGGTTCAGTTAATGTCACCCCTTTCTATCCAGTCAGTATTGTGAAAAATCTATTATTGTTAATTCCTTTTCCTTCTCATGTTGAATCACTTGCCTAAATTTCTAGCTTTCTAAGCTCTCTTATGTTGGTCCTTCTTCTCCGTATCTACTTTAAATGCATTTTATTAGGTTCTTGTCATTTTTTGCCTGGGAGGACTGCTGTGACCTCCTGACTCCTTTTCCTACTTCCAGCCTTATATCCTCTCCCTTTCTACTCCCACCTTGCCCCAAGTCAATCCTGAGGAGGCATTCTTTCCAAGATTTAAGTACAGTCATGCCATTTTCAACTTGAAGTTCTTTAGTGCCTTGCATTTTTCCCCAGGCTGCATTGTTGGCTCAATTAATGATTGAGCTTTTGTCTTCTCTAGCTTCCTTGCTATGCTGTCTATCCTACTTTACTGCACTCTCCCCTACACTGCACACTATGCATTAGTGGCCATACCAAGTTAATTGCTAACTAGTATATTGTGTTACTACTTCTGTGTCTTTGTATACTCTGCTTTCTTCATCTAGAATGCCCTTATTACTTGATCTGCATGGCAAACTCTTACTCTTCTAGTTTTTATTTGAAGATCATGTATTTCTTTCTCTATTTCCCTATGTAAATCTGCTTTCAAGTCATATACTTGTATGGTTAACAAGTGACTATTCTTTTCTATGTATATCTTACCTCTTCTGTAGCTGTCCGTGGTATTTACTTTCTCTTTCACACATTTTGTACTCACTTTGTTTACGTATTCATTACATTGTGAACTCTTGTGGGCAAATCATGTGTCTTATTTTTCTTTGTATCCCTTGCCTTTCACATTTGGTAAATTTTATTATTGAGTTAAGTTGAAATTACTTGAATGACAGATAACTTTTGATTTAATCGGAAATTACCATAAATGCAAACTGCAATCCTTTGAAAACCCTAGTTAGAGTAATCTATAACTGCTTTCTACAGAAACAAAATCTTTTAATAGCCAAATAGGTGACCTATACCTAACTAAAGATAGAGACAGTAAGTTTGTGTTGATGGTCCATGGCTGCATTATTAAAATGGGAGTGCTAAAGCACTTAAGTGTTTTGTGGGGGCCACATGACCAAAGTAATTGGATTTGGTATAAAAGCTTGAGGTTCTGTGGATTTCTCAGTGCTTAGCCTTAAATCTTTTTTAGCCTCTTTCATGTGGCCAACCAATTACTCATATTGAGAAACAGTTGGGCTTCTTCATTAACATGTTGTTTTAGGAATGGGATTACTGTTAAGCAGTGGTGATCCCAAATGTGATACAGTTTGTCCTGTTTGGCTTTTAACTACAGTCAGGACACTGGAAAGTATATGATTCTTAAGATGATAACCTTCAGAAACTTTAGATCATGTGTATGACAGTATTATTCTGTGCAAGTAGAATATGTTTATTTGCTGTTGAAAATCATCTTAGACCAGATTTGTAAACATCTCCCTTATAATAACACCATTTTAATTAACCTCTTGCTTATTTTCAAGTTTAAGGAGATCTTCTTTTTATTACCTCGAAAGCATGGCATTTCTTTTCGGAAGGTCTTAAATTCCTTCAGGCACTTGCCACTAAAGCAGTGTAAAATGCTGTTGTTTCATTATTTTTTTCTCAACTGGCTCTGTCCATTTGTTAATATATAAAGGAAATTCCTGGTAGTTCCCTTTTTTCTCGTTGGTTGAAATAGGGTTTTATGGCTACCCTTAGCTGCAAGGGCAGCTGGGAAAGACTTGATTAACGTAGACGGATTATGATCTGTTCTCTAGGGGTAGTGAGTAGCACAGTGTTTTTCTGTTGGCAAAATGTGGGGCTGGGATTGGAAGGCCCTTGGGTGGTTTCTGCCTTGGATATCTTATTTAAGACTTCATTCAGCACGATGATGCCCCTGTCTGCCTGAGTCGCCTGAACAGATCAGCCCTCATGTCATTTTCTCGTGGATTCATTCAGGGGCCAGCCTAAGTTCCCTACCCTATTCCTCCTACATCCATCCAGTCTGTCTGTAGGCCCCATGGATTCTTCCTCACTGATGATTGACCTTTTCTGTTGCTGACTGTTTAGCCTGCTTCACCTCCCTCTCCTTTTTCTCTCTCATTTCTTTTATCAGCACCTTCTCAGTGCTAATAACCCATTTTTTCCTCTAGTGTTTAACATTTTATTGCTAATACTAGATAATATTAGATTGTGAATTTTTCTTTTGGCATACAGGTTTATGATTTAACACGTGCTATTCATGTAACTACCATCATAATTATGTATGTAACAATTCTATCATTAAAAAAAAAAAACTCCCTTGTGTTATCTCTTTATAGTTAGCCCATCCCTCATTCATAACTCCTGGCTACCCCTAATCTATTCACCATCCCTCTTTTTTGAGAATGTCATATAAATGGAATTATATAGTATACAACCTTTTGAAATTGGCTTATTTCACTCAGATAAGAATGCCTTTGAGATCCATTCAAGGAGTGTGTATAAACAATTCACTCCTTTTTATTGCTGAGTAGTAGTCCATAGTGTGGACATACCACAGTTTTGTTTAACCATTTACTGTTGGAGGATATCTGGATTGTTTTCAGTTTTTGCCTATTATGGATTAAGCTGCTATAAACATTTGTGTATAGTCCTTTGTCCTCCATTTTTTTCATTATGGCAAAATACAATTAACATAAAATTTACCATCTTAACCATTTTAACGTATACAGTTCAGTAGCATTACTATACAACCATCACCATCATCCATTTCCAGAACTCTTTTCATCTTGCAAACCTGAAACTGTACCCATTAAACAATAACTTCTCATTGTCCTATCTCTAGTCCCTGGCTACCACCATTCTACTTTTTGTCTCTAGGGTTTTGCCTTCTTTAAATACCTTCTACAAGTAGAATCATACAGTATTTGTCTTTTCGTGACCAGCTTGTATAAAGCTTTTCTTTCTTTCTTTTTTTTTTTTTAATGATCACAAGTCTTTATTTCTTTGAGATAAATGCCAAGAAGTGCATTTGCAGGATTCTATGTTAGTTACATCTTTAGTTTTTTAAAAAAAACCACAAACTTTTCCAAAGTGGAAAATTTTACACCATTTTACATTCTTACTAGCAATGTTATAAGTTCAGCCATCTGCAAAGTTTGAATTAAATTTCTGGAGAAATGACCCTATTGACTGTTAGGTTAGGTGTTTACCCTTAGAGTAGTCTTCGTTGGTTGGTTGATTTGGAAAAGAATGGTTTACAGTAAGTACTACTCTTGTATTCATTCCTGTGGATTGGGGTAGATATAGAGGGAATATTGAACTCTCTTTCACAAAAGTGGGGCTGGGTAGGAAACCGTGTAGGTGTCCATTGCAGTAGTGGTTTTCAAACCTGTGTGCACACCAGAATCATCTGAGGAGCTCTTCATTATGTAGATTCATGGGTTTCATATAGACCTACTAAATTGGAATCTGGTTTTAACAAAGGTTCAAGAGAGTTTTAAGTAGTCATGCCCACATCTGTTGGGAATGTTACATTATAATATCTATGCACTTTTGAAAGTTTAAAGGTTTTAGAAGCATATGCTGTACTATATAAATGAAAAACTTCCTGTTCTCTTATCTTTTCCTCTTTTTCTTTGGCCTTATGTTTATATTTTTGTCTCTTCTCTGATACTTATTCTATTTTTATTTTCTCTCCTCCATTTAGTTTTCACTGGTGTCTATTTTTTGCAAGTGTCTATGGATAAGTTACTGTTATCTCTGTTCTTAGTATGGAAATTGTATAAAGAGATTATAAAGAGAGTTTGATCTTAGGCATTCAGGGTTCCTCTTCTTTCTCATACCACATCTGAATCTCTCTCACTGATAATTCTTTCCTTTTAATAGCAAAAGTAGAAAACAAGTTCCTGGGTTTAATGGAGAAACCTTTATGTTTTATATTTAAAGGTTGACATTCTTAAGTAGGCTCACTCTTATGTTTTATTTCCTCCTTTTCTCACAGGGAAGAAGAAGAACGTCTGAGAAATAAAATTCGAGCTGATCATGAGAAGGCCTTGGAAGAAGCAAAAGAAAAATTAAGAAAGTCAAGAGAGGAAATTCGAGCAGAAATTCAGACAGAGAAAAATAAGGTAGTCCAAGAAATGAAGATAAAAGAGAACAAGCCACTGCCACCAGTCCCTATTCCCAACCTTGTAGGAATAAGTGGTGGAGACCCAGAAGATAATGACATAAGAGAGAAAAGGGAAAAAATTAAAGAGGTAATAAGCTGAGTTTTGTGATATGGAGTGTTTATGGATTTGTATTTGGATATAAACAAATGTATATAATCTATGGTATCCTGATTTTGATCTTTTTGTTCTTGGGTCATAGTTGTAGTATAGTTTCCAGGTTGGTGATAAGGACTAGAACTCTTTCTTGTTTTTTTTTTGTTTTTTTTTTTTTTTTTTAAAATGTTGATTATAATGTAATTATTGGGCACTTAAAATATTTTTGATACGATGTTTAGATGGTTAGTGCCACTCATTCTTGTTCAGAGATCTTTTGAAATTCAGCATTTTATTAATAATATATCTGTATATAACTTACCATTGTCTAAGCAGTTTCTTAAATGTTCAGTTACAAAGCGACTCTGCTAGATACTATGTAGACCCCCTCATAAACGTGCTTCTAAAGAGCTAGCATTGTATCTCCAGTTTTTTAAGGAACATGTCATGATACCCCTCAACTATACTGTAGATTAAAAACACATTCCTTCCAAAAAGTCTCCATGGATTGAAAAATGGGAAAGAATTGATTTCAAAATTCTTTAAATTTATTTAGCCTCAGAAGTCTTTCAATTTGTTATTCTGTAATTACTTAAAAGTAAAGAGGATACCAGATGGGAAACATCTAGCGAATATTTGAGTTAAACTTTGTTAATTAGAACTCCTAAAAATTCTGGTTGGAGTTTGTGATTATACTGCCTATGAAGAAAAATATTTTATCAGAGTGTAATTGTACCAACAATATTTGAGAAAGTTTAATTATTATAAAGTAAGATAAATTTAGTTAAAGTAATCAAATATCTATTTGGATATATTCTAGTAATGGATATGGAAGGTACAGCAGATGTTTTAAGCTTAGCCTTATGAATTATTATAAAACCTTGACCTTGATGGAGTAGAAATAGAGCTGTGCTCTGATTTTACCTCATGTCTAGAGTCTGTTTTATATGTAGACTACTTAAGGCACTTCCTTCAGACAGTGCTGGGAGAGACAGTGATAGATTTTTTTTTTCAGATGCCTGACTTGCTTTTTTTCAGATGTCATTACAATGTACTGAAATACTTTTTTCAAATACGTAATAATTCAGGTGGATAACCATGTGTGTTCAGGGGACCCCCAGATGATCCTCAGGTTCAGTGATTCCCCAGAAGTACTCACAGAACTCAGCATATAGAAATATGTTTTAGTTTGCTGAACTTTTATCCTGTTATTTTACTGAAATAAATTATTTATTTATTCTTACAGCTTTTTTGTAGATTGCTTGTGATTTTTCTTATACATAGTCATGTCTTCTTTGAAGAGGTACTTTTCCTTTTTCCTTCTTGATTTTTATACCTTTTTTTTTTCTTGTCGTACTGCAGTGGCGAGGAGTTCTAATACATTGTTGAAAATAAGTGGTGAGAATGGACATACTAGGTTGATCCCCAACTTTAGGGGTTAAGCATCTAGTCTTTTGCCATTAACTATGTTGTGTCAACTGTAGGTTTTTAAAAGATGCTGTTTATTAGGTTGAGGATGTCTCCTTGTAGTTCTAGTTTACTGAGAGTTTTATCATGAATGAGTGTTGAATTTTGTTAGATGCATTGTCTTCATTTGTCTCTAGATTACTGTATGATTTTTTTCCCTTTATTCTGTTAACATGGTAAATTACATTGGTTTTTGGATGTTAAATTAGTCTTATATTCCTGGGTTAAACTCCACTTTGTTATGGTATAGTATCCTTCTTAGATGTCGCTAATTTTTGTTAGGGAATTTTGCATCTGTGTTCTTGAGATACATTGGTCTTGAGTTTTCTTGTAATATCTTTGCTGATTTTGGTGTCTGATTAATGCTGGCTGCATAAAGCAAGTTGGGAAATGTTTAATGAATAGTATGCTGTTAAATGAATAGATTTTTGGTACACCACAGTCTACTATTATATAATTCATCTGATATATAATTATATACTCTGCTATTGTGTAGCTTAGAACTCCTTGGGTTGTAAAACACTCAGCTTAAACTAAGTGATACAAAGAGTATTTATTGGTTTAATGGCCCTAAACAAGGGCTTCGAGTTTGGCTGAATCCAAGCCTGTAGATATTATTGTGAGTAGTAAGCATCTGTCTCTCTTTCCTTTTGCTAGTTTCTCCATGTTGGCAGAGAGCCATTATCAGCTCTAGGTTTATATATTACGCAGATCATGATATTGCAGAATAAAAAAGTCCCTCTATCTGCTGGTGTCTATAACAATGTGTAAAAAGAACTTGATTGTTCCTACTTGAATCACATGTATCCACTCACTTTGTCTAGGGCAGGGGTTGACGGCTACAACCTGTGGGCCAAATTCTGCTTGCTGTCTGTTTTAAAAATAAAATTTAGGCCGGGCGCGGTGGCTCACGCCTGTAATCCCAGCACTTTGGGAGGCCAAGGCGGGCAGGTCACGAGGTCAGGAGTTCGAGACCATTCTGGCTAACACGGTGAAACCCCGTCTCTACTAAAAATAACAAAAAAATTAGCTGGGCGTGGTGGCGGGCGCCTGTAGTCCCAGGAGGCTGAGGCAAGAGAATGGTGTGAACCCGGGAGGTGGAGCTTGCATCACTGCATTCCAGCCTGGGTGACAGAGCAAGTCTCCATCTCAAACAAAACAAAAATAAATAAAAATAAATTTTAATTTGAATACAACCATGTCCATTTACTTACATATTGTCTGGGACTGCTTTTGTGCTGTAACAGCAGAGTTAGTTTGTTCATCTCTGGTCTAAGGATAAGGGGTTTTCTAGCTAGACTGAGTTAATTGATGGTAGAAGCAGAGCCTCTTGATTGACAGCTCTGTCATATGTGAGGAAAGGGAGCTGTTCCCCAAAAAACTAACATTTCTCAAAAGGAAAGAATGCCAAACAGATATGTACGTCATGAAGAAAGAGGACTTGTCTATTATACCCATTTTTTCCTGTCATATAGATGATATTAAACATAGTTATGTATGTTTTCATACTGATACAAATGTTAATTGAATAATATACTAATGTAGATCTAGAAGAATGGGCAAGGATATAGTAATAGAACCCAAAATTATATGAAATAAAAAAACAGTTTGTGAAAAATTTAACTTGATGGATTATAATTTTTCTCTTTTCAGATGATGAAACATGCTTGGGATAACTATAGGACATATGGGTGGGGACATAATGAACTCAGACCTATTGCAAGGAAAGGACACTCCCCTAACATATTTGGTAAGTTTACTTTTTCTAATTACTATTTCCATTTTCTACTTCCATCTTTTAAAACAAGATGTAACTTTTCAAAGTACTTTCTAAAATCTGAGTATTTCTGTGGAACTATAATTTGAAGAAACATGTATGATTTTTGCAAGTGTCAGTCACGATTAAGTTCCAGTTGCTTTCGAGTACACATATATGTGGTAGATTTTCCATTTACATATGGATGCTTTAGTCATTTATGTGAGTATTTAGAAGCTTTTTTTTGGCATTTTTTTCTTTAGTGTCAGGAAAGGTAGGCACCTACTTGTCATTTTTTTCTTCAACACAATACCTATTCTGATATTCATGTTACAGAGGAAGAGGGGAAGGATAGGAAATTCTTGTAGTTCTATGTACATTTTTTAAAAAAGTGACCTACCCAGGGTGATTGGGTTACTGAATTCAGTGGGTTATGTTGTACATTCACAGTTCCTAAGGAAAAATTAACAGTGTATTTTGTGAATGGAGGTTTGGGGAAGTGCTGTGTTCATCTTGAGTTTGTTCATCCTATTTTCCTTGAGCTCAGTTCACTTATAAAACTTCCCAGTTTAACTTACTCAACTAATTTAACAACTTTTACTAAACCCTGAGGTAAGTCTTGAGAATTGTTAAGCTACTCTTTGTAGTCTTCACTCCTTTCCCTCATTTTAAATGCTTCTTGATGTGACTTGATGCTTGTCTTTTAAGTAGTGATAGATGAAGGCAAGAAAATTTTAATGGGCTAAAAAGACACAAACTAGTTATATGCAGTCTGATTCTCTTTATTAACTGTAATAAACCATCACAGTAATTCAAATAACAGCAATTTTCTTTTTGACACTAGGGAAGGATTTTTCTAATGCTGTGACTTTTCTTATAATTTGTTCATTGTTGCTTGTTTTTGGTCAAAAAAGAAAATGTCTTAAAAAATAATTTCTGTTGGGTTTGGAAGATGTTGTGGTAGAGGAGTAAAGGAAAAAAGTTTCTTCTAGGTAATCAGTGACTACCAGAGACTTCATAATATGATATTTAATTTATCAGCCATCATGTAATGAAATAAAGTATATTTTCTTAGCAAAGTTTTGGACTGGAAGGTTCTTACTGCTTTGTGGATGTCACAGTATGAGGCGTTAGTGCAATAAAGACATTAAATTTAATAGTCAGTTAAAATTAGAACCTCCCTTCGAGTAACTATTCTTTTATGTTAAACTCAATGGTAAATTGTGAGCCTTTTAAAAAGATTGAAATATAAAAATGTATTGAAAATAAAAATTGGATGTTAATTTTTTACTTTTTTCAAATGATATTTCTCAGAACATCTAATGTATTAATATTTATCAAATAGATACTGGTCCTATCTGTTTACCAAATAAATACTGCTGCTTTAGTAAACTTTAAAGATAGAAGAAAATTAATTTGACACTTGGGAAACATCTATTATGAGAAGAAAATTATAGTGAAATGGTAGAAAAAGAAAATCTGCAGAATTTTCAGTAGTCAAAATTCGGTGCTGCTTATATTTTATTAAATTTTTGAGTGGTTACAGTTACTTTTCCGGCCAGATAAGCTACATAGGAATAGATCATTATTATGTTTTGTCTCATGTTTGTAGCTATGCAGTTGGTTTGTTAAAGGATTATTTTTTATAGTTTAATACTTTGTTTCCTACTTACTCTGTTTCTGTTGTGTATCTCAAATTCTTACCAGTAAGTACAATTTAAGTTTTTTTTTAAAATATATTTTTTGATTTTTTCTTTTTTTAAAAAACAGTAAAAGTCTAAGAGAAGGGTGGTTAAGTAGTTCTCAGTGTCTCATTTGACATCCCAAATTTAGTACACCTTTACAGAATAGGAATATATAGGTGGATATGGAACCTTTGCTTGCAATATTCTAGATTTCAGGAAAAACATTAACTTAAAACACGCCCCTTTTGTTACCCTAGATTGTTAAACAATTCTTTTATATGGTAACTGAGATAGGGGCTCCTCTGATTTCTGTCTAGTTAGTTCTTGGCATCAGAGTCCTCTTTACGTGCAGATAACAGAAAATCCTTTGCAAAATGGCTTAAACTAAAAAGGAAACTTGCTGAATGAATTCCTGGTGTATATCTGATTCTATCTGAGCTTTTTTACTTTATCTTTTCTGTCTTCCTGCTTGTTAATATAATCAAGCTGGTTTCTTAGCAGGATGGCTGCAGCAGTTTGAAGCTTCGTATCTTCATACTACCACATCTGTAGGAAAGAGAACACTGTAAAGAAGAGAGCACTTGGATGTCTTAGAAATATAATCGAAATACTCACTGTTTCTTATTGTTTCTGATTAGGTCTTGTGCCCACTGTTGAACCAAATGCTGTACTTAGGAGGATGGGACATGTTCTTTTTGTTTTGCTTAGTTAGGGCCTGGCTCTGGAGCCAGGAGAGGGGAGAGGGAAGTGTTGCTGGATGTAAGCACTGATACTAATTATTCTAACAGTGATTAATAGAATGGCTGGGTGCAGTGGCACGGAGTCCCAGCTCTACCGGAGGTTGAGATAGGAGGATCGCCTGGGGCCAGGAGACCAAGGCTACAGGGCACCATGATCATGATGCCAGTGAATAGCCACTGTGCCCTAACCTTGGCAACATAGCAAAACCCTTTCTCTTAAAAAAAAAATGCAGAATGAATTCTATTTAGATGTTCTGGAAAACAGAAAGTCTTATTAAGGATAGGTCTTTTTGCATGAAGAAGAAATTATTTTAATTTGGAAAAAGAGTATTCTTTGATTTTGCAATGCTTTTTGAAGGGTACATTTTATTTTCCAGGGGTGTGTGTGTGTGTGTGTGTGTGTGTATGTGTGTGTATTTATATGTAAATAAGTTACTTTTGTTATTTCTGACTTAAGGTGTTTTGATTTGTACATATTTTGTTGAAGATTGTTGCTTTTATATTAATAAGAGATATTGTTCTGTACTTAAATTATCTTTGTCTTGTTTTGGTATCAGAGTAATGCTGGACTCAGAAAATGATTTGGGAAGTGTTTTCTGCTTTTCAGTTTTCTGGATGAGATTGTTTAGCATTGGTTTTATTTTTTTCTTAAATGTTTGGTATATGTAGCTGAAGAAACCACTTGCATCTGGAACTTTTTTTTTTCTTGAAGGTTTTTAAACTACAAACTTAATGTCTCTAATAGTAAGGACCATTCAGTTTATCTGTTTCATTTTGGGTGTATTTTGGTAATTTGTCGTTTTTGAGTAATTAGTCTGGTTTTATCTAAGTTATTGATTTTTTTATGCATAGAATTGTTTGGAGTATTGCCTTGTCATTTGAATGTCTGTGGCAGCTGTAGTAATAATAATCCCCTTTCATTTCTAATATTAGTGATTTATGTTTTGTCTCCTCTCTTGTCCTGCTAGAAGTTTATTAATTTTATCGATCTTTTCAAGGAAACAACTTTTGGGTTCATTGATCTTTGTAATATTTTGTTTGTGTTTTCATTTCTTTGATTTCTACTCTTTATTGTTTTCTTCTTTTGCGTGATTTGGGTTCATTTTGCTCTTGTTTTTCTAGTGTCGTGAAGTAGAAGCCTAGATTATTGACCAGAGATCCTCTTCTCTAATGTATTTATTACTGTAAACTTTCTAACTGCTGCTTTTGCTGCATTCTTGAGGTTTTGATATATTTTCATTTTCATTCAATTCAGTGTTTTAAAATTTTCCTTGAGTAAGTTGAAGTATTTAGAGTTTTAAAAAATCCTTCTGTTACAGATTTCTCGTTTTAATTCTGTTAGGATCAGAGAATGTACTTCACATAAGTTTAATTCTTTTAAATTACTTTTGGTTTGCTTTCTGACAGAGGTTTGTCTTGGTGAATTTTTCATTTGTGCTTAGAAAGAATGGTATGTGTATATTCTGCTGTTCTTGTGTGGAATGGTCTGTTGATGTCAGTTAGATCCCATTGGTTAATGGGGTTGTTTAGGCTGTCTCTATCTTAGTTGGTTTTCTGCCTCGTTCTGTCAGTTACTGAGAGAGGGATGTTGAAGTCTTCAACTCTTATTTTGGACTTCTTTCAGTTCTGCCAACTTTTGCTTCATGTAATTTGAGGTACTCCTGTCAGGTGTTTGTCCATTAAGGATGACGCATTCTTAGGAGCACCACTAAAGCCCTAGTATCAAAACTAGACAAAGATATTTATAAGAAAAGGAAACCGTAGAGCAGTATCCCTTATGAACATAGACGCAAGAATATTTAACTAAATTTTAGTAAATCTTATTGAGTAATAGAGTTGTCCTTTGGTGTCCATGGAGGATTGGTTTCAGGACCCCAGAGAATACCAAAATCCACAGATGCCCAAGTCCCTTGTATAAAATAGTATATAATATTTGCATTTAACCTAAGCATATTCTCTCATATATTTAAAATTATCTCTAGATTACTTAGAATACCTAATACAATAGAAATAGTTGTTATACTGTATCTTAAAATTTTTGGTTTTTAAAAATTGCTGTATTGTTATTTAAAAAATTATTTTCCCCAAATATTTTCCATCTACTGTTGGTTGAATCTGTGGATATGGAACTGGTGAATACTGAAGGCTGAGTGTATATTATGTTATGACTAAGTGGAGTTTATCATAGAGATACATGGTAGGTTTTACATTTGGAAATTAGTTAGTGTAGTTTAAGATATCAGAATAATAAAAGAGAAAAATCATAGGATTATCCCAGGAGTCAGAGAAAAAGCATTTAATAATATTTAACAACCATCCATGATAAAAACTGTCAGCACACTAAATTAGAAAGGGGATTTCTTTAACTTGATAAAGAAAATTTCAAAACAACAACAATAAGCAAAAAATGCAAAATATACCCCACATACTTAATATTGAAAGACTATATGCTTTCCCCTAAGATTGCAAGCTAGGCAAAGGTGTCTACTCTCTCACTTTTATGTAACATTGTACTGGAGATCCTAGCCAGTGCACTAAGGCAGAAAAAAGAGAAAGAAAAAAAAAAAGAATAAATATTGGAAATGAAGAAGTAAAACTATCTTTACATTTTTAGTCAACATAATTGCCCATAGAGAGAATCCTAGGGAATGTACCAAAAAAAAAAGGTACTAGAATAAACAATTTAGTAATGTTATAGGATACAAGTTTAATATGCAAAACCAATTATATGTATTGGTATACTTGCAACAAACAATTATAAATGCAGTTTAAAAAATAAAGTTATTTGCAGTAGTATCAAAAAATATGAACTATATGTGTATAAATTTGATGAACTATGTACAGAATCTGTATACTGAAAACTTTATGTTGTTTTTGAGAGAAATTTAAAAGGACTTAATGGAGAGCAATGCCATGTTCGTGAATTTGAATGCTCAATATTATTGGGATGTTAATTCTTTCTAAATTTGTGTTTAAATTTAGAGCAGTCCAATCAAAATGACACTAGACTTTTCTCTAGAAATTGGCAAGTTGATTCTAAAATCTGTGAAAATACAAAGCACTTAGAATAGTCAAGTAATTTTTTTAAAAAAAAACAAGGTTGAAGGATTTGCACTACCTGATTTTATAATTTACAGTAAAGCTACAATTGAGGACAGCTTGGTTTTAGCATAAGGATGGGCATAGAGATTTGTGGAAAAGAATAGAAATAGAAGTGCACATACATGGTTAATTGATTTTCAACAAAGATGCTGAGGCAATTCAGTGATTAAAAGGATAGCCTTTCCAACACATGGTGCTGGGTCAACTGTATATTTGTATGGGGAAATAATGAACTTTGCCTCTTCTTTCAACATTGTGTACAAAAATGGATCACAGAGCTAAATATAAAAGCTAAAAGTAAAAAACTTTCAGTAGAAAACACTTGAGAACATCTTTGTGACTTTGAGGTTAGCAAGGATTTTTTTAGAATACAAAAAGCATCAAGTATAAAAGAAAAATGTGGGTAAATTGGACTTAATGAAAACTGAAGATTTCTGCTCCCCAAAGACATCAGGAAATTGGAAAGACAAACCACAGACTTGGAGAAGATATTTGAAATACACACATAAGGATGTATCCAGAATATATAAATACTTCCCCACCCAATGAGGTATATGCATAGCCAATAAGCACATCAATAAGCAGGGAAAGTAAAATTAACACCACAATAGAATATTTCTACACACCCATTAACATGTCTAAAATTTGAAGATCAACAATACCAAATATTGACAAGGATGCTAGAGCAACTGTAACTGTTATACATTGTATTGGGAGTGTAAAATGGTACACTGTGGAAAGCAGTTCATCAGTTTCTTATAAACTTAATGTATAGCCTAGCAATTCCACTCCTAAATATTTCCTTGGTGTTCACAAATGAGATCAGGTGTAGTTGTATGTTTCTTAGTAAATTCGATTTTTTTCATCGATATACAGAATTTACAAATTGAATTTTAAGATCTTTTTCCCTATGTTGTATAAAAGTTTGTATAGAATAGGAGTTATCCTTAAAATTAAAGTAGTATTCTTTCTGTGAAACTTCCAGAGTATGGTATTTTGATAGCGGGTAGCTCTTTAAAAACTTATTTCATCTGTTTTTCAGTATGTTTGTTTAGATTTTCTGTTTCTTCTTTCATAAGTCAAAAATAGTATTTCTTGAGAAAGATCAAATTTATTGTGAATATATGAATAAAACGGGTCTTTTATAATTTTAAAAAATTTTCTCTGTGCTTGTCTGTTGCTGCATTTTTATTTATTACTTTGTGTTTTGTCTACCTTTTAAAAATGAGGTTAATGGTAGATTCGTTGTATGGTTCTTCATGGAACCATTTCTTGAATTTATTATTTCAATAATTTTCTTCATTTCTAATTCATCCATTTCTGCCTTTAGTTTTTCTCATTCTTGTGTTATTTTGCTCAAATTTGTTTTTTCTTTCTTAGAATATTAAATTCGGTTATTTTCATTTGTTCTTATTAACTAATATAAATATTTTAAGTTTTTTTGTGAGAACTGCTTTAGTTGATTCCCATGCTCTCATACTAAATTTTTATGATGTTTTATATATTCTGCGATGCCATGTTTTGCTGCTTCTTTGACCCAAGAATAGTGTTAGGCTTTTTCATTTTTTCCTGTTCAAATCTTGACTTGTCCAGGTAAACAATCATGATAATAGCCAGTAATTTCAATTTTATACTTTTCTTCCTTGAGCCCTTTAGCACATGGCACCTTGTGGAACTAACCAAGACTGGTACAGAATAGGTGGGTCAGGCCTTTTTCCACTCCAGAATAGTCAATACCTTAGAGAAATATGTACTTAGAGAACTAAATAAATAACTAGATAACTGAAGGAGCAGAACTATCTACAAACATTAAAATAAGGACACAAACAGTAGTCTCAAGGATTTAAAATAAGTTTGGTAAATGTTTTGGATGAAATGCTAAAATTAAAAGAGATACATATTCAAGAAGTTATGCAAGAGATAGAGATATATGAGTGATTAAATGGCTTGATACCATTTTTATCGCAATAAAAAGCCGAGGGACGTAATAACACATAATTGACTTTCTAGATAATATCAACATGAAGGGAACTGAGCAGGGAGAAGACCAAGGAATTTATCAGAGTGTGTTGGAGTACTTGTCTTGTTAGCTAAGAGAAGATAGATGTATTGATAAGTTGAAGAAATTATTAGGAACACATGAACAAGAAAATGGCACGTAAATTAAGGACAACCATCATAAGAACAAATTTATGTAGCTTTAAATCATTGGAAGAAAACAATTTCTACGCAGTAGAAGGAGGAATGGAAAAAGAAAGAAAAGAGAATAGTAAATGGAAAATGTGAACTAAGTAATGTTGAATGCTGGCTCTGAAAATGTCACCAGGAAAACCTGTTGATAAGACAAAGCTGTTAATTATTACTTTGGTAAGGAGATCACTACCTCACTGGAGTCGTAGCCTTTCAAAGTTTGGGGTATAAATCATCATTTGGTACTTTCTGTTGAAGAGTTGATGGGTCTTTCAGGAAGTTCTTGGAATGAACAATAAATTTTTTTTGGCAACTTTTAGCTTTCTGGGCAAGAGCTCCTGGAACAGTAAATTCACCTTGTTGAAGACAATGTAATAGTAAAGCCATGTTAATGCAGGCAGTAAGCTGTGTGGATCGTTTGAATTTTTATAGGACAGAAATAATAATTGCATTTATGGGATTGGGGAGAACCCATCTCCTCCTTGATATTTATTTTTTTGCTGTACTACTAGATTTTTTACTCTATTAGGAGCAAAACAAACCTAGCTTTGCTACTATTTTATTTAGGATTTGTACAGTTACATTCATTAGTAAGATTGGCCTGTTTTCTTCCCTTATGTTTTCATTATCAGTTAGGCTGGTTTTGAGTGAATTCTTCCCTCTCTTCCTCCCTTTCTCTCTTGCTTTCTTCCCCTTGGAACTTTTTTTTTTTTTTAATGATGAGGATAATCTCTTTCTTAAAAGTGGATACATTGTATTATTTTGATTTTCTCTACTCATGTTGTTTGATGGTTTCCTTTTTTCAGTATGATCTACCTGCTTGTTGATTGTTAAGGATTGTTAAGTTTTTTTTTCCACTGTGGTTATCCAGCCCTGTTGTACATTTATTATTATTTTAAAATATATTTTTTGTTTGTCCTATGAATTTGGACCAGAGCAGGAGGACACGGTTGTCTTATTATTTAGCTTTGTCATCGTGAACTACTCTCCCCTTTTCTTGAATTAATCCTCTTTTTTTTTTCCCCTTTCTTGGTTAAGTATACAGATATCTCATATTCTGACCAGGCAGAAAATTAAGGAAAAGTATGCTTTTAGTTTTCTTTTATCTTCCTATTTTTACTAAAGTACTTTTTTTTAGTAAAATATATTAAACCATGTATATTTTCTAATATACATATAATTTCTAATGTAAAAGTGAACAATATTGGGTATTCTAAATTTTTAGTCCTTGTACTCTTACTTTAGTTTACTTTTATGTATAAGAAATTAAAATACACTGAATGTGAAGGGAATCTTTTTTTTTCCCCCAAAGAGAACAGGAGTGTAAAGTGATCTTTTTAATGATAATTTTTTTCTCCCAAATATAGGAAGTTCACAAATGGGTGCTACCATAGTAGATGCTTTGGATACCCTTTATATCATGGGACTTCATGCTGAATTCCTAGATGGGCAAAGATGGATTGAAGACAACCTTGATTTCAGTGTGGTGAGTGTATGATTGATAACTGATCTCTTAGATTGACCATGAAAAGACAGTATCTAACTGCTGTTGTCTGAATATTTGTGCTTTCTTATTCATATGTTGAAACCTAATCACTAATGTGATGGTATTAGAAGATGGGGACTTTGGGAGGTGATTAGGTCATGAGGGTTGAGCTCTCATGAATGGAAAAATATATATATATATATTTTAAAGTTTAGTGATTAGCACAGCTCCGATGAGTTTTCATAGTTAGGCCTACACCCATTCTTCTGGCACTTTAGCATGGTTAAGTGGTACTGCTTAGGTTTGGCATAGTTGTTAATCACACGCCCAGCACAGTTGCATTCTAGTCGTGCGACTTGAGAAAGTTCCTTATCTTTCTAAACCTGTCATAAAATTACTATTCCATTATAGTATTGTGAGGATTATTTGAGATAATCTGGTACATATTAAGTGCTCAGTAAATGGTGGCAATTATTATCACCAGTCTTCACCTAAAAGATGTGTGGACTGTTTTGTTTTGTCATAGTCACATCTTTTGTGATATTTGTGCTTGCTTTTCCTTTTGACTACTTCTTTATGTACTTCTCTCTGACAGACTCTTCATTATTTAAATTGTGATATAAGTCCATAATTATTCCTTCTCTGATGCCTTTCTTGGTGCTAACTAGACAAAAATGGTTTACTTTCCTTTATTTTACTGTGGCATTTGGACATATCTCAATGAGAACAAATTTTATTATCAGTTAAGTTTAGGTTTGATGGTGAGTGGCAGAAAACCTAATATAAAATACCTTAAACAAGATAGATATTTATTTTTTCATGTAAATCAAGTACAGAGATAAGCATTTCAGGCCTGGTTTGGGTGGCTCCTTGATCGTCGAGGATCTAGGATCATTTGTCTTGTTGTTCTGTTGCCTTCAGTGTAGATCTTAGACCTCATGGTATAAAATGGTTCCTAAAGATCCAGGCATTTTATCCAGTAGACAGAAAGATATGTGACTGTTCTTTAAGAAGACTTCTCAGGAGGTAGTCTCCCCCGGTTTTGCTTGTAGAGTTTACTAATACGGCCTCAACTAACTCCAAAGGAAAGCTGAGAAACATAGTCTTTTTTTTTTTTTTTTTCTGTGTAGCTATGTAGCCTTTATACAACAGATTGTGTTTTTTGTATCTTCTTTAAGAAAGCCGTACTCCTAGATCATGAATATATTTTCTTATATTTTATTCTGAAGGTTTTAAAGTTTTGCTTTTAGTCTTTAATCCAAATGGAATTGATTTTTTTTTAAATGTAGGGTGAAATAGGCCACTATTAGTTGATCCTAGTACCATTTATTTTCCTGCTATTTGTATATGCCACATTAGTCATATATTAGTCATGTTATAGTTGATTCTTTAACTTTGGCTTTTTTATTTATCCCATATATCAATACTAAATTGTCTTAACTACAATTTTTTTTTTATAAGAAGCTTGATGTCTGTATCTGAATCTTGGTATCTGATCTTGTTCTCTGCAGAAATTATCTTAGTTCTCAGCTTTTTGTTCTTTCGAGTTCTGGAAAACTATGTGGAAATTTTGATGAGGATTGCATTTAATTTACAGATTAATTTGGGGAGAATTAGCATATGTGCAATACTCCCATTCATTGACAGGGCAGCTTTATTATGGCTAATAATTTCCTTGTGTATAATTGTTATCAGTCAGGGTTCAATCAGGAACCAGAACTATACCATTTATTTTAATTAGAGGATTTAAGGTTTAGAATTGTTATCCAACTAATGGGGAACCAGAAAGGCAAAAAGAGAGCATTGTGGTATCACCAGAGGTGTTTTAACTCTAGGAAACAGGAAACAGCTGCCACCTGTGGGGGCTGTAAGAACAATGGGAAGAGGTTGGTTGGGATCATTAAAATGCAGTAGCTTGGGCTCTGTAGAACTAGTACCTGTGCTGCCCAGGTGTTACTGGTACCTTAGGAAGACTGTGTCAGAGCTGGGACTCAGAACTCTGAGGAGGAGACACCTAGCCAAGTGCTTGATATCTGTAAAGGAAACCATGAGGCTGACTTGGGGATTGTGTGTCTGTATGTGTAATAGGGTACTCTAACCAGTTGCCACTGCCAGGGTGAACCCTGGCTGGTGTGACACTATCACAAACTAGAAGTAAACAGGAGGGAATAAGACTCTTCTTCCTCCAGTCTTGTATTGTCTTTTTAGAGCCTCCTATTGTTAGTGTCTAAAAGGGAGCCAGCTGCTAAATGAAATGCATTTGCGTAGTTCCAAATCCCATATATCAAAGTAGAGTATAGAAGAATGGATTTGAATCTGAGAGAAGTAGTTTAATCATCAACACTGTCACTTTTTGTTCCTTTCTTTCAACCTTTTGATGTCATTATGTTTTAGCTGCTTATTTTGCATATAGTATGTATTTGGGTTTTGTTATTTTTATCCAATCTTAGAGTCTTTTTAACTATTAAGTTTGATATATTTACATTTATGATAACATACTTGGAGTTAGGTCTTTCGTCTTTGTTTTGCTACCTATGTTATGATTGTACTTTTCATTTGCTTTTAGTTTGTTTTCCTTATTTTGGATTAAATTACATCATCTCTCTTTTTCCCTCTACTAGTTTAACATTATACCTTCCATTTCTATTGACTTTGGAGATATCCTTGAAGTTTAAATATATATACATATATGTATATATACACACATATATATATTTATAAAATATATTAAAACTAAGTTTTATCTCTTTTTTGTGCTTGTGCTCTGGTGTTAGGAGCAAAACAATAAACAATATATATGTTCAAACTTTAAGGGTAACTCCAAAGTAGGCATGTGCACACACACACTCTCTTATCAAAGTATAGTATATATAAGTATATATAAACTTTAAGGGTAACCCTAAGCGGGCAGATAAATATATATATATGTATTTGAAATTAATCAATTTCAGATCAGACATTGTAGCTCATGTCTGTAATCCCAGCACTTTGGGAGGCTGAGGCAGGAGGATTACTTGAGCCCATCCTGGGCAACATAGTGAGACCTAAACTCTACAGAAAATAAGTCCCAGCTACTTGGGAGGCTGAGGAGGGAGGATTGCTTGAGCCCAGGAGGTTGAGGCTACAGGGAGCCATGATCATGCTACTGTACTCTAGTCTGGGCAATAGAGTAAGATCCTCCTTCTGAAGCATATAAGGGTTTTTAGAATGTTTTAACTTAACTCATCCCCCTTTTGTTTTATGTGTCATTGTTGTCTAGTTGATCCCAAGTTGTATTTTAAACTTCCAAAGTAAGTAATAGATAAATAAATGCACACATTTATCAAATGCAATAGGCACTGTTCTAGATTCTGTGGATATAGTAATCAACAAAGCCGAGTTTTATCTCTTTTTTGTGTTTGTGTTCTAGTGTCGGGAGCAAAACAGTAAACAAGTTTTATATAGTACATCAGATGGTGATGATAAGTGCTGTGGAGAGTAATAAAGAAGAGTAGGTAGGATTGGTGTAAGTGGTGAGGTACTGCTATTAGTATTTTACATGGGGTGGTCATGGAAGAACTCTTTGTTACAGTGACACTTCTGAGAAGAGACCCAAGGGGAGACATGTGGATGTACAGCTCTGTCTTAATAGATATTAAAAGTGAGAATAGAAGTACAGTTCCCTTGTCTTTCCTGCTTCTGTTATACTATTGCAAAGTGTGTTTTCAGTCTAATTTTAAAAAGGCAATCTATTTTTTTGCCTTGTTTTAATATTTTATTTTTCACTTTGTTGTTCCATAATTCTATTACCATACATCTATGTGTGGGTTATCCTTTAAAGGATTCATAATGTTTCATCAATCTGAAGACTTATGTTTTCATCAAGTTTAGTAGATTCTCAGTTATTACTTCTTTCAAAAATGTCTCTATCCATTTTTCCCTTCTGTCCCTCTAGAATTTCTCATACCTTTTGTTTCTGTAGTGAAGGAAGATCATTTTACAAATGAAACTATTTTATTACCATGTGATTATATAGTTAGATGATGATGTGTTAATTAGGGAAATGATGCAAGGCAATTGGTATTAATATTTTATATTAGATGGTCAGAAAAAATTTCTGATAAGGTGACATTTATTCAGAGACCTGTAGGAAGTGAGAGTGATTTATTCAGTTATGTGAAAGGAAAGCATCCAGATAAGAGGGTAACTAAAGACTGACATAGGAGTCTCAAGTTTAACAATTCTGGGTTCAACAAGTAGACCCATATAGTTAAATGAATCCAAGGGATATTAGTATGACAGATGTCAGAGGTTGTAGGGGATCTGAGCATATTGGATCTTATTGGTCATTTTACTCTAAATATAATGTGAAGGCATTGTAAGGGTTTGCACAGAGCAGTGACCTAAACTGATGTAAGATTTAAAAGGCTCATTTTAACTATAGTATGCTGAATAGAGGGTAGGGGAGGAGGGTAAGTATTAAAGCAAGGACTGGTTGGAATGTTATTGTTGCTATTCTGGTGAGGGATGGAGGCCCTTCCACCCTTTTTTCCTTCCTCATATTTAGTGAATGTCTACTGTGTGCCCTGTAGTATGTTAGATGTTGGGAATATATGAAGTAATATTAAGCAGTTTGCTTTCAGGGTGAGATGGAATGACGATCTTGTTATCAAAAAATTACATTAGATTGTAAAAATTCTATACTGGAGAAATATGTTAGCAGATGATGTGCCTGCCTATGAATGTTGGAAAGACTTTAGAGTAATACAGTTTCCTTTTAATTTTTATTAAAATTAACTATGAATGTTTTTATGTTAGTTGTATATCTTCTGTAGATTCTTTGATCATGTTCTCTTGCCACTTCTACTTTTCTTTCCATGTGTTAGAATATTTCTAGCAATATCTATATCAATATCTAAATACAAACATAGAGACTATATTTAGTAAGGTTATTAATATTGCTATATTTGTGCTGTTTCCATCTGTTTGCCATTTAATTTTGTTCATGATTCTTTTTCTTATAGGTAATTTGCATTTTAGAAAAATTTCATGTCTGTCATCAATGTATCAAAACTGTTGGTTTTATGCTTAAGTACCTGCTTTCTCAAGGAAATTTATATATTGTAACACTTCTACTTTTTAAATTTTTTTTAACATTTATTTCTAAATAATTTAGATTTCATTTTGATATTTGTGAAATTAGTATTTATGTTAATTTCTTACCCAGGAGGCAATTTTCTCAACATTATTATTGAATAATCCCATCATTCTGCCATTTTTTTGGTGCCTCCTTTAAATTTATTATATATATATTCTAGGAAAAATACTTAAAATCCAGGAGGAGAGAGAGAAGTAAAAATTATACTGTAGTGATTAAAACATAAGAAAAAGGACCACCAGTAAAGAGTGCTATTCTGGAATCATGACCCAGAATTCTAGAAATGAAGGCTTTCATGAGAAAGGGCAATAGTTAACAGTATTAAATATCTTGATAATTTCACAGTACTGTGTAAGGTACGTAAAAAATGGCTTGTTGATTTTGGCAATTAGGGAGCTGTGGTGACAGTAGTAGAGAAGTTTCAGTAACATTAACAAATGAGAGGAGAGATTGCAGTTGCATGAGAAATGAAGATGCAGAAAGTAGAAAAATATTTTCCATAGGGTGTTTGTGAAAAACAAATGAAGTATTGATGTTTTGAAAACTATAAAGCATTACGTATTTGTGAATATTTTCAATATTTTTTCACAGAATTCAGAGGTGTCTGTGTTTGAAGTCAACATTCGATTTATTGGAGGCCTACTTGCAGCATATTACCTATCAGGAGAGGAGGTGAGCAAAATCAAGCAACACGTTGTTTGTTTTGGAGGGAAGGGTTGGAATTTAATAAAATGAACAATTTCCCTAGAAGCGTATCATTTTTCTAAATTGGTAATATTCAACCAGTCTAGAACTGGATGCTTCAGGCAGAACTATTCCTTGGGAATAATAATTTTTCCATTTTGAGAATCTCAATAAAACTACAGATCCGAGCTTTATATACAACCGTGTCTCCTTTGCAAGAGTGATCCTTCTCCAGGATTTTGCCATTGCAATTAATTCCATGGTCCAAGTAAAGGGGGGAAATTAATAAGGACAAAATTAAATAATGAATCAGAAAGAATTAATATGGATCCTCCTAAGACAAAAAATTAATAATTAAAACTTACTGTTTGGAAATTGAATGCAGTTTTTTGGCTGTAAATAATAACAACTCTGAATTCTCCTCTCTGGAAATCTTGGTACAGAACACATGGAGACACTTGAGACTTAAGGTGATGGAGAATTGGGTGTAGGAAATTCCCTTTTACTATTCAAATAGGTTAAAGAATGACGTTGAAGAGAGGGAGAAAGAGAAACTAAAGGAAGAGGTTATAAGTAATTTCTTTGTTTTTTGAGAAGCTGTTTCACCCATATTTTAGAATTGGTGTTTTGATCTAGACAATTTGTAAGAGCTGTTTGCAGATTTAAGAAAATTTATCTTTTGTTATATGTATTATAAAGATATATATCTATGTTATCCATATTTTATTTAATTTTTTTTGTTATCGTTAAAGTAATCATTTAAAGGATTTTTTTCCCCACTCTTATGGCTTCTAGATTTTGGTCCTTAGAAACCCTTTCCTATGTCTGTGTTATTACAAAACAAAAATTCCCTTTTTCATCTGGATTTTTATGACTTTATATACTTTTATCTTTATATTTCATATATTGTTGTTCTTTTGTGTGTAAAGAGTGACCTATTTACTACTATTTTTTTAAGAAGAAATATGTTTAAAGATGCTGGTATTTAATATATAATATTCGATTACATTTATCTTAATGTGTAATTTTATTGTCAAATTATATTGTGTGATTTGTTTATACCTCTAACTTGTATTTCTATAGTCAGAACATTTAAATTCACATTTAATAAAATAGAAAAAAATTGGTTTATACTCTGGCCAAGAGGTTATCAAACTTTAGTATGTGTTAGAATCACATAGGGTGTTTTATAAAAATGAGGATTCCAAGCCCTACCCGAAGGACTGATTCACTGGGTTTAGCGTGGAGAGCATTATCCTACGTTGTTTGTGCCAAATACTCCTTGTTAAAGGTGATTTTGGAAACATTGGTTCTATATTTTGGGAAACTCTAACCTGGCTTATAGGAATAAAATCATTGTGAATTAATTGATATTTTTAGTGAGTTTTATTGAGGTATTATTTATGTAGAGTAAAATTCAGCATATAGTTTTACGAGTTTTTACAGTGCATAGTCTTGTAATCACCAGCACGATCAAGATACAGAATTTTGGTATCCTAGAAAATTTCCATTTACCATTTTACAATTACCCTATCCTGTTGCCAGCCCCTGATAACTACTGATCTCTTTTCTGTCTCTACAGTTAAGAATGCTGGCTTCTTTTACTTAGCATAATGCATTTGAGATTTATCCATGTATTAGTAGTTTATTCCTTTTTACTGTATTACAGTACTCCATTATGCATTTTATATATTTATCGGCGGAATTATTTACAGTTTTGGAGATTATGAATAAACCTGCTGTAAGCATTTGCCTATAGATTTCTGTGGGAAAATAAATTTTTATTTATCTTGGATAAATACATAGGAATGGGATTTACTGAGTCGAAGGTTAAGTGTGTATTTAACTTTGGAAGAAACTGTCAGATTCTTTTCCAAAAATTGCCTCTCATTGTTGCGAGTACTTTGTATTGTGAGTCTCTTTATTATTGTTAGCCACTCTAATAGATGTGTAGTAGTATCTCACCGTTGTTCTATTTTGCATTCCCTGATGACAAGTGATGTTGAGCATCTTTTCCTGTGTTTATTTGTCACGCATATTTTTTGAATTAGCTGTTCAAATCCTTTGCCTATTTAAAAATTTTTGGTTTTTTTTGAATTAATAAATTGTGATAGTTCTTTACATATTTTAGACATAGGTTTTTTATAATCTGTACATTTGCAATTATTTTCTCTATCTGTGGCTTGTCTTTTCAGTGATTTAACAGTGTCTTTTGAATAATGGATGTTGTTAATCTGAAAGTACAGTTTACTAATTTTGTCTTTTATGGTTCATGCATTTGGTATTTTAAGAAATGTTTGCCTAATCCAACATCACAAAGATTTTCTCTTAAGTTTTCTTCCAAAAGTATTATATTTTACTTTATTTGTATTCTTAAGTCTATAATTGATTTTGAGTTAAATTCTATATACACTGTGAGGTGTAAGTTGAAGTCTATTTTTTTTCCGTATGGATGTTGAAAAGACTACTTTTTCATTAATTGACATAGTACCTTTGTTGAAAATCAGTTGATTATGTATGTGTGGGTCTACTCTAGACATTCTGTTTTGTTCTCTTGATTTATGTGTCTGTCTTTGGTACTACCACGTTGTGTTCATTATTAGGGCTTTATAGAAAGTCTTGAAATCAGGTTGTATGAGTCCTCCAACCTTATTCCTTTTCAAAATTGTTGTGGCTCTTTTAGTTACTTTTCCTTTTTGTGTACATTTTAGAATCAGCTTGTTGATTTCTATAAAATAATCTGGGATTTCAATTGAGATTATAAATTTTGAGTGATTTGACATCTTCACAGTATTGAGTGTTTCAATCCATGAATATGGTATATGTCTCCATCTATTTAATTATTTTTTTTCCATTGGTGTTTCTAGTTTTTAGCATACAGATCTTGCATGTATTTTGATAAATTTATACATATTTCATGATTTTGGTAGTTTTGTATTTTAAATTTTAGTTTCCCATTGTTCATTGTCAGTATATATAAATACATTTGATATTTTAAAAAAACTTTTAATAAAGACTTAAATTCTCAGCTGGCTCAGGACTTTTTGTTTCTTCTAGGTAACTTTGTGATGCTTTCATTTAAAAACAAAGTGCTGAAAGGTACACAACATAAAATTTATCATTTTAACCATTTTAAATGTGCAGTTCAGTGGCATTAAAAATAACATTTGCATTGTTGTGCAATACGCAATTGATTTTTCTTTTTTTCTTTTCTTTTTTTTTTTTTTTTTTTGAGACAGAGTTTTGCTCTTGTTGTCCAGGCTGGAGAGCAATGGCGTGATCTTGCCTCACTGCAACCTCCGCCTGCCGGGTTCAAGTGATTCTCCTGCCTCAGCCTTCTACAATTGATTTTTATATTGACTTTTTATCCTCTGATTTTTCTAACCTCATTAATTAATTCTAGTAGCTTTCAAATATACTTTAATGAATTCTTTGGGATATACTTTGTAAACAATCATGTCATTAGTAAATAGAGATGAGTTTTATTTTTCTGTGTAGAGAATGGTTATTTATTTATTTTTGTTATTTTCCTACCCCTTCTCCTGAGGCAGAGAATGGTTTTATTTGTGTGGTTCTTTTCTTTTTCTTGCCTTACTGCATTGCCTAGGACCTCTACTACAAAGTTGAATAGTAATGGGTGGAGTAGGCATCCTTGCCTGGTTCCTGATCCTAGGAATTGCAGTCATAGCTTTATTCTCTACCATGATCATGGCATATGGCTTCAAAAGTACTGTGATCCATAAATGTTTATTATTTCTCTTGGTCTGCTACTTTAACTGTCCAGAACCTTTTGTACCCATAAGATTTTTGCCTGGTTTGTCCTTTCTGTGCCCTGGAGTGAAGATAGTTCCTGGAAAAACTAGTCCCAGAGGGAGAGCTTTTGCTCATGACTTGGGAAGGAGTGGGATTTATGACTTGGACCCCTAGTCTCTTTCAGTCCCCTCAGCTCTACTATATGTGTTTCACTCCTCTGCCTTGAGTCTGTAGTCTATTGCTTACCCCATCCTCTGTCTACCTCAGCCTTACATACAAACAGTAAGTCTGGGCTCTTTCTCTCAAACGTCACTCAGAGAGGTGCCTTTCCTTATAAAACCTTTGGGATTTAGGTTTCCCCGGGAAGGATGGAACATTCATTGTTGGGTCTCATCTTTTCCACTTGACCCAAAACTTCCTCCCCACAAAAATGTCTTTAAGAATCGTCCTGAGTTGCTTCATCTGCTAACTGCCAATTCTCTAACACTGAAATGTGGCAGATAACTGGACATATTTGAAGGACATCTTTATGTAAGAGATACATGGGGTCAGGAGATAGTCACCTTCATGCATTGCTCTGCCAAGAGAAATAAAACCGACTTCTTTTTCCAAAAGAAGGAGACAAAACAGGAGAGGGGGAAGGGAGGAAAAAGAGGGAGAAGGGAGAAGAAGGGAAAGGGGGAAGGAAAGAGGAAGGAAGAAAAGGAGGGTGAAGTGGGGAGGGAAGGGGGAAGGATCAGACCTGTATCTATAAAAAAAAGTGCATAGTTTTAAAACTTGGAAAGGAAAAAACAAAACTCCAAACCCAAGTTGCTTCACTGGCCAATTCTACCAAATATTTAATATCAATTATATGTAAATTTCTCCAGAAAAAAAAGAAGAGCAAACAACTTATCAGCTTATTCTATGAGGCCAGCATTAATCCTATGTGACACACACACAGAAGTGTTAAAATAAAACTATAGATCAGTATCTCATATGAATATAGATGCAAAAAATTCTCAACAATATATCACAAAATCAAATCTAGCAATATATAAAAAGGATAATACAGCATGACCAAGTGGGGTTTCTTCCTAAGAATGCAAGTCTGGTTTGATGTTCAAAAATCAACCAATATAATTCACTATGTCAACAGACTAAAGAGAAACATCATATAATCTTATTACATACCGCAAAAACATCTGACAACATGTAACATCTGTTCATGATAACAACTCGCAGCAAACCAGAAG